CTTAAAGGTCTCTTCCAACGCAAGCAATTCTATCATTAAAGTTAAATCAGTCCTAGGTTCTAAGATTTCATCAGACTTCGTTCAGCTATTTAAACAACATCCATTGAAAAGTACTAACCTACAGCAATTTTAAAGGTCTATGGATATCAGTCATGAACCTGTGGAGGGGGGCATCTTGTCACAATGTTGTATTTGAAAGTAATAAAATCTGCTCAGTTGCTGCTCTGCTCTGGTTCTATAAGCTGCATTTACAGTGGTCATTTCCCTGATTTGCCTAAACTAAAATGTATCCAAGGGTATAACTGTATTTACCAGCACAGTCTGCTGTACCACTGAACATGGACTCAGCCCCATCCCAGCTTTCGTCATGGAACAGCCAGGACATCTCCCTGGGTTTGTGGGGAGCTGAATCCAATCTGCCTGACAGCGCAAGTACTGACGAAGGAAACAGTGCTGTTCTCCTTCAGCCTGCTTGTGAGCACTTATGCCACTTATTGTATAACTTTTAGCAAAAAATCCAAGTATTTTATTTCTCTAAAGACTGGCTAATTTGCATTAGTTTGGGCATCTTCTGTCGCTCCTGGAGTCAATTTTGTAGTTTTCAAAGCTGGTTTAGGAAAATATAACTGCCTCTTGGTGATAAATCAGTGCCACCTAGGGGCTGAGAGCTGGAAGGAGATTCAGTGTACAAAATGCTAATTGCAGCCAGGGGACGACAGGAACGAGGGACAGGAAAAAAGGAAATAGTGGGTAAATTTAGCTGATGAAATTGGTGGGAAGCACGGTGTGAAGATACAGAAATCCCTGCCCCCAGACAGCTTCGCCTTCCCCTTTCTCGGGGAGTGGGAGAGAGGAAAGGTGGACTCTCTCTGAGACACTGCATTTGCTTTGTGAAATAAGCTGTGCAGGAGGTGGGCTCCTGAAGGCCAGTTCAGGTAAACTGGGGCCAGATCTGTGAACTGGGGCAGGCCTACTGGGAATGGGAACGTGCAGGAGGATATGGGTGCTCAGCTGCATCCAGACATTTGCAGCTCTTGGTACTCAAAAGTGTTATACATTCAATGAGCATGCTTATAAAGAAACAAAAGTTCTGAGCAGCTTTGGGATCACACCTCTAGAAAATTATGACCTAAGCTCAATGATTTTTTCCTCTATATTTTTTTTTATCCCTTTCTTAAAGCTATTTTAATATCCTGTTTCTACTATATTTGTGAGAAAAATCTGAGGAAAGAGAATTTACATAGAAAATGCATGCTCTGTGTCAGGAATAACAGCAGGAACTGGAGTCCCCACTCAATGCCTTTCTAAATAACTTGCCTTTTCACTCCCTCTGGTGGTGTAAATGTTTTGTGAGGAGGTACAAGTTCTGTAAGTACTCAGCATGATCTTAGTAATGAGTTGATAGTTTGTTGGTATAGAAGTAAACAGGAAAAAAGGAAAATCTCCAGCAAGTATGCAAGGGGGTTTTGTTTTTCTTTTCCACTGAAGGGGAAAGAATTTGCTTATTTTCTCTTATACAAGAGACAAACACTAAATAATTGCCTTTGGTTGTAATTATGCTTTATCACAGAACCACAGGCGTTGGAAGGGAACTCAAGACATCATCAAGTCCAACCCCCCTGCTAGAGCAGGTCACACAGGTAGGCATCCAGATGGGTCCTGAATATCTCTGTAGAAGGAGACTGCACTGCCTCTCTGGGCAGTGAATAGCAGAATTATACAGCTTTCTCTATTGGCCACCGTGAAACTACTTTAAAATAAAGTGGAAAGATTGAGAGGGTTGGGGACCTCTCTGATTGGCATGGGCTGGTCTGCCATGAGCTGTTCTTACTATGCTTACTGTTCATACACACAGAGCCTGGAGTATTCCTTTCCTGAACTGAAGCACAAGGGTTTGGCTAAGACTGTGTGGGCCTCCTCCTATCTATCTGCAGTATCAGCAGTAGGTCACACAAAAAATTTCTACTGTGAGGAAAATTGACTTATTTTATATTTTGTTTATATTCATAAATACATCTTCACAGCAACTGTGCTGTATCAAGATGTGATACTACTGAATTTCATTATAGCTGGTTAAGTACGGGCTGAACAGGAGCATAAATCCTTCCCCTGTAAAAGAAGTACAAAGACTTGTGGGCTACAAATTTTGCAGAGATGTTACCTCTAGTGCTGCTGTGGTAGTCAAAGGTTAGCTTCTAGAGAGCACTAAATTGTCCTTGCTGATAAGCAAAGCCAAACATCTGACCTCTCCCTCTCTTGCTAAATGCTAGTTTTGGCGATGTTTGGACTCCTCCAGAATGTTCTGTTTCCCATTGAAACAGAGCACACAGTAGAAGAAAATACATGGATTGCTTGCTTTAATATTGAAGCTCTGCGAATCAGAGGAGGCCTTACTTACCCTTTGGCATTTCCCAGGCTGTCCAGCTTCACCTTTACTCCTATACACAGCTGCCAAACTGCAGTGCCTGAAGCTGAATCTCAGACATCCCTGTGTCGCAGGAAAATCCCAGGCTTTTGGGGAAACACTGAATTCTTCTCAGATGGTCAATCTGCTATTAAGGATGAGAAACAATTTGTGAAAGGATTGTATTTACCACAGGTAAACATTTTTCTGTTTTTGATGAAAAAAAAAAAAAAAAGACAGACAATGGAAAACATAAGAAATGTGGCAGTTTATGGCACTTCCCATATTTTCATGTGTGGGAGAAGAGGAACTGAGTATCAGAAAGATAAAGAGGCTGACTGCTGATATCAACTGACCATCTCAGAAATGCATTTAATATGTGTGTGAAGATCAAGTTTTGCAAAAACATGTTAAAAAACACCTTAATAATCAGTAGCATTTCTACCGTAAATAGAAATCCCAGCTGGTGATAAGGCAAATGTGTAGCAGCATTATCAACATTTTCAGGTGATGGATATCAGGAGCAATGCTAAATCTGTACCACTCCTCCTAAGGTGCTTGTTTTGCTAAAAAGAACACAAACACAGCAAAAACAAATACCCTGCAAACATATTTCACCTGCATTCTTTAATTTTCAGGGAAGGATCCGTAAGCAATGAAAATACAGTAATCTTGAAAAATATCTTTTCATTGAATGTTGTTTAGTATCAAAACTGCATGCAAAATTCACACTAGTAATGTTGTGGACATGACAGTAGAGTGCTGTGAGCACAGACTGATAGCCTGAATGAAGACAGACTTTGTTCTTTGTTCCATGCAGTTTAATATGCCAGAAAGTACATCATGCAGAGGAAAATGCTGAGATACACAGACCTTCCTGCACAGCAAGTGGTTGACCAAAGAGAGACATCATTATGAATTACAAGCATAGCTGAAACAACAGTCAGTTGAGGGAAAAAGACCACCCCTTTCTTTTACCTTTCTTAGCAGGCAGCAAGATGAAGCCAGGACAACAGTTCCTGCAGCACATTCGTTCTCAACACTTTCTGGACTTGCTCTGACAAAGGACAGCTTCTGTACCTGGTAGAAATCAATCGCGTGCTCCCCACTGGCTTCAGTGAAGTTGAATTAGACACAGCTGTTCCCCAAAGTAATCCTTCCATTTCCATTACATCTGGGTTTTGAAATGAGCACTGGCTGCTTCACAGAATGTTAGTGATTTGTAAGAGGAAATGATTTAATCATCAACACAGTTATATGATATTATAATATATCAGAGTTTGTAAAATTACTGCAATCTGAAAGTGAAATTCTTGTTTGGGGTCTTTAAAGGAACGATGTGATAAACATTTCACGTCTATAGCAGACCATTAGGCTGCAGCAGTGGGAAGGGACCTGCTGCTAAGGACTCTCAGGAGGCATCTGAAAATCTGAGCATGAGCTGCACAGGTCTTTGTGGACCTCCTGAAACCCATTCTCCTTTCCCATGTAAGTGAAAATGCAATTCTTTAACTACGTTTCTCTGCCCCTCTGTACTCATAGGTAAAAGTACAAGGAAGACCATTAAGATGAGAAAATACTAAGAGATTGCAACTATTTTCACAGTATTCTTTGTGCAATGTGTAGACATGCGAATGCTGTTGAAATGTCCACTGATCCTTTCTCTCCTCCTCATTAATGTTAGAAGTAATCTAAGATCTACTCGTTTATCATTTGTAGGGAAGAAGCCAGAATCTTCTCCACGTTGCAGTAGGGCCAATTTGTATTAAAAATACCTTCATTTTATAGGACCAAAATAAAATTATGTGCAGGAAGGTGATTGTCCATAAATAGATGATGAATAATAAAGTAAACATCAATTCTGGAGAAAAAAAAAAAAAAAAAAAAAAAAAGCTGAAAATACAGCCGTGAACTACTCTATTTTCCACAGTGGGTTCTAAACCCACATCTAGCTATTTTATTTGCCAGTGATGGATGGCTCACCCCTAATGCAAGGTTGAAGTCATTCTTGTCTGTTCTCATGGGTTTGTGTTATTTTCTCTCATTTTCCTGTATGAAATAACCTCAGTGTCTTATTTTTTTCCCTTGGTTTATTCCCTACCCAGTGCCTTGGTTTATTGTTTATTCTTTGGAGCTCTGCCTTTTTCAGTACTGGTAAATTTGTGATAGTTTTTTGTAAGAAGTAAGGAGGATATGAAGGAGATTGAGGAATCATTAAGCAAGACACTTCACAACACACCTTTATTTGGCTTTACAAATCTCCAGTGAGAGTCATGTGGCTTAAACTCACAAGGCAATAAATTTTAAAACAGAAAAGGGATCTGCTGCAGCTGTGTGAGCTATCACATTAGGACGGAAAGCACATGAGAGAGAAGGGAAAAAACAAACACTAGGGAAAGAGATGGAAAGCAATGCTGAGGAAATAAGTGCTAGAAAGTTGAGTTGAGAATGACCTATCTGTCCCCAGTTTGTATTTCAGGCAGTGAAATCTGAAGCACTGTGGACCTTCGCAGGAAGGCTGGAGCAAAAAGCATTCTTTGGCCTCAATACCCTCGGAAAGAGCAGACAGTGGTAAGAAGAGAGTATGGTGTTGGCTCTATGAGTTGGTTCTGCAGTCCATCAGTTTACGAAAACTCCTCCGGAAACTATCATCCAGAAAGGCATACAAGAAAGGGTTGAAGCAGCTGTTGGCATAACTCAAGCTAGTGATGAAATAGGAAATCCCAACAATCTGAGGAGTTTGTGGGATATCTGTGGTGAGGGCCACCACTGTGCTGAGGTGATAGGGTGTCCAGCAGAACAGACACACAGCCAGGATGACAACCACCATCAGCGTCACTTTTTTTTTTGCTTTATCCAGAGCTTTTGCATTGCTATGAAGATGCACACGTCTCAATCTGCACAACATGATGGTGTAGAGGACGCAGATGGTGGACACTGGGATAGCAAAGCCTAAGATAAGGGTGTAGATCCGACTGCCTTTCCACCACATGATTTCAGGATGAGGGAACACGAAAACACACTGGGAGCGCCCCTGCTCCTTGTGTACCTTAGCAAAGACAGTGAAGGGCAGGATGATGACTGTGACAAAGGACCAGATGCAGAGGCTTAGAATCTTGGCAGCTCGGTAGGTGCGGTAAGACATCTTCCTGGACTTGGTGGTGGTCACTACAACAAGGTAGCGGTCAACACTCATAACAGTGAGGAAGTAGATGCTGGAAAAAATGTTGTACTGGTCTATGGAGATAATGAGCTTACACATGAACTCTCCAAAGGGCCATTGTAGGAGCAGGTAGTCAGCAATGTTGATGGGCAGCACCAAGGTAAAAAGCTCATCAGCAATGGCTAAATTGAGAATGAAGATGTTGGTGACTGTCTTCATCTTTGGGGCTTTGAGGATTACATAGATGACAGCGGTGTTACCTGTCAGTCCCACAGCGCAGATGATGGAATAGATGACAGGCATCGTGATGTAGGAGGTGGGGCTTGGTGGGGAAGTGGGAATATTCAGCTCCTCATCTCCTCTCCTTGCACAGTCTGTGTGCCCAGCCACACATGTAGAATTGAGCTCAGGGATAGAGGTATTTTCCATGGTCACAGCAGAGGGCCTAGACCTGCTGGTAGCAAGAAGGGCTAGGAGAGAAAGGCAAGGAACTTGGTTATTCTCAAGCTTGCTTCCTCAAAGCATCCAACCAACTGGTGTCTTCCGTTCTGCTCCCATGTGTGTCCCACCAGAGATGTCCTGCTGGGAGCAAGGGGACATTGTTGAGAGCTCAGCTGCTGGCAGAAAGTCCCACCATCCAGTTGTAGCAGAGACAGTCCCTTCTGACTGTCCTTGACCTCTGCCCAAGCTAACTGGAAAGGTTGCCCAAGGAGGTTGTGGATGCCTCATCCATAGATGCATTTAAGGCCAGGCTGGATGTGGCTCTGGGCAGCCTGGTCTAGTGGTTGGCAACCCTGCCCATGGTTTGAAACTAGATGATTTTTAAGGTCTTTTCAACCCAGGCCATTCTACGATTCTGTGATTCTAAGATTCTAATGGGTTGGGGGTGAAGAAGGCAGTGCAGAGTTCTGCACCACTTTAAGGTGACCCCCTGCAGGGGTTCTCCAGTCCCTCCCCAGAGTTCCTTTCACAGACGGGTTCAGGGTGACTCTCCCAGGCAGGACTGCCAAGAGCTGAAAAGGAGGGATCTGATGTCTCTAGGATGTTTGGGGCTGAGAGATGGGAAGTGAAGAGCCCCGGGGCCAGGCTAGCAGGATGTGAGGTGGTCGCTGAAGTTTGATGTTGGAAAGTCTTGCTCCGTCCTCGAAAATAATCCACCCCACCCGTTCTCCTGGGGCAGGGGGTGTTAAAAGCAGAGGAAGAGAAAGCTCACCTTTCCCTGGCGGATGTGGGCAGGAGCCGGCGGCAGCCCCGGGTGCACCGATGCGGTTTCTTGGTCGGATCCTAAGCACAGCCGGGAATTAAACGCGTGCTCATCTCGATCTAGGAACAACAAACAGGCATCGGTAACCGCGGAGAGGAGCGTGCAAAATTCAGTACCTGGAGCTTTCTCTGGGGAGGGGGGGAGGAGAGGAGTTTGGGGGGCAGTTACCTCAAGTCGCATCTCCTCCCGACGGCGGCAGATCGCAGCACAAGGAAGGTGGGAGAAATCCGAGTTCTAGGTGGCATCTGTCGGTGGTGCGGGGTCTGGGAACGCCGCATCCCCCCGCCCGGTCCCGGGGTGTCCGCGGCTGCGCTCCCTCGGGCGGTGTTGCGCCCGTCGTCTCGATTCCACGGGTGTGGAGTGAAGCGGGATGCTCCGACGGGAGCTCTTATACCTTCGCGCTTTCCCGCTGTCATGCTGAGATAACGGCAGACTTACATGGACCCCCGCGGGAGGCAATCTTTTGTAAAGGGTAATTCAGAGCTTGATTACCTTGTTTTCCCAGAAAGAACACGGAGTATCTGTCTATCTGGCTTCAGCTTTATCTGTTTTGCTCCTTAAAGGAGATTGAATTTCGTGAGCTCGCGGTGCATCTGATAAAATTTTGCATCATTTACAGTCAAAGTGAAAAGTGTCTTTTGTGGTGTGACTGGCAGTACTGACTGCATACCTGAAGCTAATATTGTAGTTTATGCTTTCTTTTGCCAAATAATTTGGCAAAATTCTTCAGTATCTTTGAGCTAGCACCATGAAGTGAGAGAGAAACATAGCTCTGACTGTCCCATGCCCTGATACACATTTAGCTGGATAACTGGGATTTCACAAGTATGAGAATTCAAGCAAACCAATCAATCAGTAAATGGATAAAAAAAATATCGCCATAGAAAACTATTTATCTTTTATTATATACTGCTTGTAGCTATAAAATAAATGACACATTGCAATACAGAATACACTGTGTGTTCTGTGACTTTTGCCTTCCTTAACAGAAACAGAAAGCTGTTCACATACTTAAGAGCTCCCGTGAGAGTGACATCAAGTCTAGGTTGCAGGTCTGCCACAGTGCTTTGATCCCTTTTCTGCATACTTTGTACTTCAATAATACAAAAAAAAAAACAACAAACAAACAAACAAAACAAAAAACAAAAACAAGAAAACATCACCTTTGCACCTTTCTGTCATAACTGTATTGTTAAATACTGGATGCAATCAAAACTCCTGGTGATCATCTTTTCTTTTGGTCTTTGATTTGGTCTAGAGGGAGGTGTCCCTGCATTTAGCAGGGGGTTGGAACTAGATGTTCTGAAGAGTCCCTTCCAACCCAAACCATTCTATGATTGTAAGATTTTATGATTTCCAATGATTTTGTGTAGACATTTTCATGAGACCCCTCTTCACTTTTTTATTTACCAGTGTTACCCAATTACAAAATACAAATTTAATCATGGTTAAACTGATTTAAGTATATTTTTCCACTGTTTTCAGATGTGTCTCTGAAGATCCTCTTTTGTGATCCTCTTTTGTTGTTTCAGAATTGTTTTGCCTCCCCAGAGACTGAAATAGGAGTTTTTATTGAAATCTAGCAACAGCATTATTAATATTTTAGATTTGTTTTAAGATTAGCCATGGCAAACAGGAGGCAAATGCTGAGCAATGTAGTACAGAACTAATGCAGGGTTTGTGATTCACTTTCTGCAGCTCTAGACAGGCAGAAACTTTTCTTTATAGAGATGTTGGAGGATCTCAGCCACAGTGGATGCTTATTGCAGTAACATAATAGGTAACCTAGATAAACAAAATATGTCCTTCTGCTTGCGATGACTGGGGAACATCCCTGATGACTACAGAAGGCATGTCATACTCATCTGCAGACAAAACAAGGAAGACAGTCCAGGGAACTACAGACTGATTACTCTCACATCAGTCCTAAAATGTATTTCCAGGAATATGAAGAACAAGAAAGTATGTTGGAGTACCTGTTGATTCTGCTGTGAGAAGACATTGCTCACTCAAAATCAGAGAAGACTGTGGATTATGAGAGAATGGTGGCTGTCATTTAACTGGACTTTTCACAAAGCCTTCAGCAGTCACCTGCAAGCACAAGTTGTGCTCAAGTAGTAATAGTCAGCAATATCTAATCGGTGGTTGGTCTTTAGTAGCAGTTGTCAGGGATCTGTACTGAGGTTAAAACTATTTAGTATGTTTGGGGACCTGTGTGCTGGGATGAGATACACCCTCAGAAAGCTAATGGATGATAACAAATGAGGGTATCAAATCTGAGAGGTATCTCCTTTCACATGAAGTATAGGTAACACTATAAGTTGGGCACTGCCTTGCTAGGAAAGTTCTTCCAGAAAACAATATAAAGCAGGTCAAAAGACTCAGTTTTTTCCATTTCTTTGGCATTTTTGATACTGTGCTGTGTCCAGTTCTGGGCTCCCAGATGCAAACAAGAAAGACATTGACAAAGTGCAGGAAAATCCAGTGGAGTGTCATTAAAATGGTTTGGAGGCATACTACGGGTGGGGAGATATTGAGGGAATTGGATTTGTTCTGGCTGGAGAAGTAAGAGTGGGGGAAACTAATTGCCATCTCCAAACATATGAATGTGGGTTATGGAGAAAACAAAGTAAAAATCTTTTAAAGCTGAAAAAGAGTAATGTGACAGCAGTTGCAAATTACAAGTTCTGACTAGATGTAAAGAACAGGATTATTTGCAGTGAGAGTTACTGACTTTCTGAATGCTGCTCCTTATCTGGAAGTACTCAGAACTCAATTGGACATGGCCCTGAACAACCTGATCTAGTTTTGAAGTTGACGTTAGTTTGAACAGGGAATTAGGTTAGATGATCTTCACAAGTTCATCTAAACTAAATTATTTTGTGATTCTGTGGTTCCACCATATTCAAATAATATTTTAAGCCTTGAAATTCAGACACTGCCTAACAAATCACATGGTAATTAAAAAAAAAAAAAAAAAAAAAAAAAAAAAAAGTTTTTTAGAGGAGACTACAAGTTTTTGATGCAGTTGAATAATTTAAAATAACCAAAAATGAGGTAGCACAACTCAGTAAAAATTTCCTTTGAGAGAGCACAGAACACCTATTGAATAATTAATGTCTAAACAAACCACTCAGCTGTCTGAGAGGCAGTGTTTACTACAGGGCTACATTCATAAAATGATCACTGAATGAACTTCAGCTTGCAGTGCTATGTGTTTCTGAGATCTATACTCTGATAGAATTCCTATGGTGGTTTATACAGTATCGGTGTTTTCTTGTTTTGTAACTGGTCCCATTTTGTTGAAATAGATAGCGAGGTTTAGGTATGTGGGAGGGAAATCTTCAAGAATGAAGTAGACAAAAAAAAAGTTCCCTTTATGTTTTATGTAAAGAAAAACCTAATAATTGTTTACATTGTAACATGCTTTAGCTGAACTTATGGAGCACAGAGACTCAACAAGCAATGCATCAAAAAACTAATTTAATGTCCTAGAAAATGTATTCTACATTCATTTCTGTCCCACATACAAAACCTTTCAAGGTTATTTCTGTATTAACTAGCAATTTTTATTATATCTATCTTAATATTTAATATTATATCTTAATCTTAATATATTAAAAATTCACTTAGATTCATTTAGAGCCACGATCATCTTCCCTCTTTGCTTTAGGAGTTTGTCATCAATACACAAGTTGTATTAATATAAGTCAGCAAGATATGACTAGGGGTACTAATATTTATATTCCTGCTTACTCTACAGGCCTATTACACGTCAAAACTAAACTGTAAAAATCTACTTTGTACATGCACTGGTCCCATACAAGTCTTCCTGTGTTCATTTTTATTGGGAAATAACTGTGTAGATGAAATACAACATGAATAGAAATCATTATTCTTAGAGCAATTAGAGGAGAGTGCACTTCCAGCATGCAATGAAACATTGCATGAATGTGTGCAATGAACATGAAAGATTACAATAGATGAGGGCTATTCTGAAAGTAATGTCTCCAATTTTATAATTTTGGTTCATGACATCAAGGGTGGTTGGTGGTGCTATTGCAGTAAGGTGAAACATTCCCACCAACATTCCATTACATTTTGCTGCCACGTGACGGATGGCAGCAAAGGAGCACTCTGACAAAATGATGCCTGACACAGAAGT